AAACGAAACAACAATTTCCGGAGAGACAGGGAGAGACAACACGGAGCGAGAGAAACCACGCAGCGAGAGAAACCAAACGTCGAATGAAAATGGCGGGGCAATGAGCGACGGGGCGACCGGGGAGAGCGGCCGCGGGATGTAGACGTCGACAGACAGACACACACACACAGTGTTGTGTGTGTGTTGTGGGAGAGAGAGAGTCTTTTCCCGGGTGGCAAGTGCCCCTTCTGCCCCCGTTCGTCTCCTACCACGCCGTCTCCCCGTGCCATGCCGTGCCGTCTCCGTGGCACCATGTGGCCGACGGTTTGCCTGATCGTGTGACCAACCATGTAACCGCGCGTCGTCCACCAACTCACAAAATGTTACTTGCATCATTTTCACTTCTCTTCCTGTTTTAACTCTTTAGGTAAGGAGAATGTATCAAAAGCGGATGAGAAGACTACTGTGGAGAACACACCTCCAACAGGCCCAGATCCCGTGCAGCGCAGTGAACCCAGTAGCCCCAGTACACCGGGGTCCCCGGATGCCCCTGACGTAGGTACCAAGACAACGGGGCGTGAACCACCTGATGGTAAAGCTAACCCAGATGCTCAGAATGGACATGTGCAACCTAACGAGGACAAAGGGGGGAAGAGTATTACACAAACGGACTCAGAAAAAGTGACTTCCATCGGACAGCAGGATCCATCCGGTGGCACAGGTACCAGTGATGGTGGTATCAGTACTACTGTAACCTGTTTACCCGGGATTACTGATACAACATGTAATATTGTGAACGGTGCTTCCACTCCCAGTAATGATAATAGCAGCACTCCTACAGGCGGTGTGTCCTCTGCTGGAGGTGCACCTCCTAACCCTGTATCGGGTACTGCTTCAGGTTCCCCTGCTCCATCCACCCCAGATGGTGCGGACAAGAAAAATAAGCCCCCTCAGGATTCACCTGATCTTGACCTAAATACACCTGGTGCAGCCGCAACAGGTAATCCTGGGGGATCCCATGGACCAGGTACCCCACAGGTTCCGCATACGCCACAGGGCTTACCTAGTTCCCCCGACCCTGATGCACCCGACCTAACCGCCGACGTCCTTACCGCCACTACTCCCGTCCTGTTGTTCGTCGCTTCCGTTATCGTCGCCCTTCTGGCTTATTCCCGTTGGAAGGTAAACGCACTCACACACAACCTCACACAAGCACGCACAAGCCCGCACAAATATAACTGAGTGGAAAGTGGAACAACAACCGTTGCCATTCGCCTTCCACATTCCTTATTTGTATGTTCCCATAGGGGCCGTAACTAACTTTACACTATTTGGAAGTTACTCCCTCCACACAAACAAAAACACGATAGCAACTTTAAAAAGAAGAAAAAAAAAAAACACTAGCGACGTAAGTCCCTACATGCCTCTACATGTATTTTCGAGGGACATAAGGTTGGCCTTGTGGGATACATTATTAGATACGCGCGTACACAAAAGATTTATATGTAATATTAGCATAATATGCATATATTCTTGTAATTACGATGGTTTAATATTTTTCTAAAACAAAAAAGAATAAAAAAAATTCCTACAACCGGAAGCCTCCAAACTCTGGTACTTCGGAAATCTCAAACCTCAAACCACGAACCTTTGATAGGAATTCCGCAACCCCATAATCCTGAAACTTTAAAATCCGGGAACGTCGCAATCCTAAAACTTTTCAATGCTGAATTCTCGCAACCTTGACATCTTAAGCCCTAAACCGGTTAAATCGCTTAAACCTTTTAAAATCATAAACCGTTGAAACTTGACCCTTGAACACTGAATCATAAATCCGGATTTCGGAACCTTACAATCCCGGAAAACATACAATCCTGGAACCATAAATCCTAAACCTCGTAAAGCATTTAAAACGCTAAATTCTGAACCTTACCATGCGGAAATGTTACAATCATCAAACCTTACAATCCTGAACCTCGCAATCATGGAACCGTAAGCCCTAAATCCTAAATTTTGAGCCCTAAAGCCCAAAATACAATTTCAACCTACATGTACCCTTTATTTATATATCCTCCTTACACGCTTAATTACATCCATTCACACTTTGTCAAAAAGAAGATACAGATACGGGTATGCACTCATAAGAAGGTTGTGACACTATATTTCTGCATATATTATTTATCACTACGTATTAAAATCTGAGAACGATATAAATGACGACCCCCATAAATAATAAACGGCCACGCGACATGTATAATTATGCGAATGCGTGACAATAACAACCCCCCCTAAAACACTGATACAGTGTACCTGTGAGCCCACGGCCATACACGCATACAAAAAAAAATTTGTTCGCCGTTCTATGTAAAACGGGATATAATTGATTCTCTTATGTTTATTGTCGTCACCGTTGTATCTAGTTCAAAAAAATAAAATGCTATTTCACGTGTAGAATTCCATCACTGGAAGTATACAATTTGACCCCATTACACCGTTACAACGGCGACATAGCTGATGAGGCTGTGTGAGATTTGTGAACAATGTTGACCCCTTTAAGTAATGTTGTATCATATAACATGTACCAAGAATGGGTTATCCGGGGTTCTTATGCACTTTCTCTTATTCTTTATTTATATTATGGTGCATATGGGCTCTTAACTTAATTCATATTGATGTACTTAGGTTCGTATAGTATGTTGAGTACATAATCGATTTTATACATATTCACCATTCGCCAATGAAAAGAAGTGTTACTCGCAGAATCTATACACATAGATGTGGAAGAAGAGAAAGCAATTCTATAATTCATACATATGAACAATATATCGACACTTCTACCATTTTCTAAAGGGAAAACAAAAAAACAGAATGATGTTGCTTGTGAAATTTTCTATATTTATTTGTGCCCTGTGTTTTGGGCAAATTGCTGACGCTGTATGATAAGAACCATTATATTTTGGGGAGTTACCCCCTTTATTGCGATAACATCTTAATGCCTTCATAACAACTATAAACCTAACTTCCATTTTTTTTCACGCTCTACATCCATGTATACATACACCATAACATTAGCATATATGCCCCCTGTTTTGCATTTGTGTTAGGAAAGTACACTAGGCATATCCTCGGATAATGGAACAACCCAATATGACACTACAGTTGCAAGTACAGTTGGAGCGACCACCGTATTATTAACTGGAGATACGGATGTGTGGACACGAGGCACACGTAATTTTTACGACGATCGTGCGACAGGTCGCCAGAAGGGCACGATGTTCGATGACATGCGGAGAAAATTACAGTCCAGGAACAAAATAAACAAGCCGCAGCGCACAAAGAAGTCACCGCAGGATATAACTGCAGGGAATAATTGTAGAAGAGGTTTGAAGAAGTTGACACGTTGTAAAATGGGGAGAAAGGCATGGTCAATACTTATAGTAGTCTCCACTGTCCTGTATTCATTCTTCATGTCCCTTATAGGACCGAGCATGTCTTATGTGAGCTCCGGACCAATGCAATACCTTTTGATGGGGCTCACGGGCACGTATTGGACTCCCATACTGATTCCACTTATATATTTGTGCGTGCTACTGGGATTCTGCTGCTCGAAGACAGGGAAATGTTTATTGGATAAAATTTGGAAGAAGAAGAAGGAAGTTGCCACAGAAACGGAAAAAAACGAAGCAGGAGTCAATAAAGAATCGAAGAAGACGTAATTATTCCGTGTTTTACTGCATAGTAAACAATAATATATTTTTTGCATACCTATTATTTTGACCTTTTTCATGATGTTGTATGTTCGCCTCTAGGATGTGGCTTATTTTTCCTTTATAACATGTATCCTATAGTTCCGTGTTCTACATTATAATGTTGTTTGTACACTTTTTCGAAAATATATGTATGGTTATTTCATGTGTCTTGTACTGTTTGTGCACATTATCGGTTGTTTACTGTTATTATGGCTAGGATACACATTTGAAAAAAAAAAAAAAAAAAGAAGTCGTTCTATATTCTACATTCTACATTCTACATATATATATATATATATATATATATATAGAGAGAGAGAGAGAGAGAGAGAGAAGAATTATTTTATATCCTATATGTAACAAACACTATATTATGATTACTATGGATAAATAATATAACGGGTGTTTTTTTATATTATGTGGGAAGCTCTTCCGTTCTCCTCTTTTTTGCGCACCTCAAAAACACTGGCGCTACATTAATATGCTGCTTTTTGGTACTGTTGTTATTTACATGATAGTAACAACATACATTATGTAGAATATAGCATAAGCAGATATAGGTATGCAGGGTCCCCTACAGCATCATCCACAGTGACAGCCCCCCTGAACGAGGATAGGGCAGGCTCTCGGCCTCTGCTTCCTCCATCTGCTCAAATGTTTTGCAACAATTTATCCACATATAACTCCGTCTCCTTCATATTCTGCTCCATTTCACACTCTTCTATGATCAAACCTAGGGTGAGTATCCACAATTTGGCTATGAGTTGTTTCTTCTGGTAGGATTGCTCATGGGGTGGTTGCGAGCGTGGTGCATCTCTCACTCTTAGCATATCTGCTGCGGCCATTATTTTCTCCACTTCTATGCCTTTTTCCACTCCAGGTATTTCGCCGTGTTGCGGTACTGTCACCTCCTCTACATTATTCAACAAATGTTGAAACCACTCCTGCTGGCCATACATACGCATTTGCCGATGTTGTTGGGCAACCCATTCTTTCCACAAGTGCAGTTTCTGCATCTGCAGGATTGTCGATTCACCGAACTCACGGTGCGCGGATACTCCGTGGTCGGCGTTTTCCGCCATGTGCTCACGCAGGTATTGTTTCCATTCCGCTTTTAATTGCAGAAACCAGGGCTGCGTCGTGCACTCCCGCAAAATGTGTTTGTTGCGGTCAATCCAGTTAATCCAATTAGTGTGGTCGGGGGTCGGGCATTCATTCCAGGGGTCGGAAGAGGATGGAGGGGCAGAAGGACTCTCTTCTTGTTCTAACTGTATAGTTTCCATACAACTGCATGGATCGGGGTCATCTTCGTTATGTGGACAAGGGTCGGTTGCTAACTGTATGGTTTCCATACAATTCCATGCATCGGGGTCGTTCAGTGGACATGGATCTGTGCCGTCGAAGTCAGTGGGTGGAGCGCGGGTTGTCGAATCGTGGGTTGCTAAAGCGGCGTGTGAGGTAGAAACACCCAAGATATTGTTATTTGTGTCCTCGTTCTGCATCAACTGCTGTGCAAACTCCTCCACAACAATCTGCAAATAGTCGTCTTTGACGTTTTCCCATTCGGCCGCTTCACATTCGTTGAGCACTTCTAGATGTAGCTCGATGATCGTGCGTTTATGCACGCGCGGATGACGTCGTCGTCGGGCGGGTGTTGACGCAGGTTGCCTATCCCTAACCATCGTGTACCCGAAATCGGTTGGTGGGAGTTCGCCGCGTTGTAGATGCTCCAATATTTCTTCGTCGAGTGGCGGTGACGGCACGTCACGAACGGTTCGATATGTGCGTCGGTGTTTGGCGAGGTAAGCAAAGTACTACAAAAAAAAAAGAAGAATGACGATGTAGGAGTGCAATTGTGTTTGAATGATCTTAGGAGATTCTTAGCAACACATTGCTAATGGTACATATGACGGATTTTCATATACGGTGTCGCGTATATACTTACCTTCCATAGGGAATAACCAAGGAGGGCGACGATGACGGAAGTGAGAAAAAACAGGATCGGGGTAATGGCGGTAAGGACAGCGTTGGTTAGGTCGGGTGCATCGGGACCACTATTCCCCTTGGGTTTCTGCTGAAGTTCAATTTTTCGTTCAGTTTTTAGGACTGTCACAGTAGGTGGTGCATAGGATCCTACGGGGCTCTCTAACCCAGGAACATTCACTCCGGGCACTGCTTCCGGTGATATCCCGAAAACCTTACCACTGGGTGTAGTACTTTGGATATTACCCCCCGTCTCAAAGTTCTCAAAGGCATCGCTGGCGGCACCAAGATCAAAGTCACCCCATGCTGAAGGTGCCGTGGGTGTATTCTCTGATGATGTTTCTGAGTTTGTACCGGTTGAACCCTTCTGAACGTCCTTATCAGGATCAGTGGAGGTAACTGGTTCTCCCGAAGGGTGAGACACCTGAGATGGTACCTGTTCTGTGGATGGTACCGAGTCCCGTGTTCCTGCTCCCGCCGATTCTGCAAGTTCTTCTACTGGAGCCTGCCCCTGTGTACTGTCATCCTTCTTATCCTTAGAATCATCCTGACCTACACATTCGATTAAAAAAGAGAGGCGAAAGTATGATGAAACTGAACTTATTTTTCGGATGGATGGTCATGACCATGGTCGGTCGGCTACACGATGCAGCGTCTGTTGCTGTTTGCACCGATATATATATATTCCTCCTAATGTTTTTCTTTGTATTGTTGCCCTGTTGTCTTCTTTTTTCTTTTCAAGGTGTCCTTTCTATGTGTAACCTGGTACACATGGTTGGTGCTCGGTTTGACAATTCTACACCTGTTGTGTCCTCTCGATGTTCCCCACCGTAGAATCATCTTACCACCAGATCCTGGTTGTACGGATATTTTTTCAAGAATTTCCTTGAGGTCCGGTGGATAAGGGTCATATGTAGATACAGCCGTCACAGTAGTACCTGCAACAGCGTTGTCTGGGTTGTATATACTCTTTGTGCTTTCCCCATAATCAGTCTCTGCTCTACCTCGAGAAGGACCCTTACCTGTAGATGGTACATCCTTAGGTGCAGGGACAGGTGTTGTGTCCGTGTTGCGCGTACTGCCCTTACCTGAGGATGCTCCTGTTGCTTCCGGCGCTACCGATACGGGTGGTACTGGACGCGGCTGTTCCGGCGGCGGTGCTGGCGGTGGTGTTTCCACAACTTCCTCTGATCTTCCTCCTGATGGCGGCGCCGGTCCCGCGAGTACAGGTCCTGGGTCTGCAGTTGGTGCTTCCGGTACTCCGGATGAGGATGTTGTTTGTACGTGCTGTGATCCCTTACTTGCCTTTTCTACTTCCGGAGGTTCTGCAGAGGGTTCATTCTTCTTCTTTTCTTCCTCCTTTTCTTTCTCCAATAACTTCTTTATACAATCGCTATCGTTGCCACTACATTTTCCTATGCCTTCCAATATTTTCGATACCTCCTGTTCTATCTCCTTCTTCACATTCTTTATTTCTTCCTTTATTTCTTCCTTCAGTACCTTCTCTTGTTTTTTCCCTTCCCTTCCTTTTGCTGTTTCTTTCTTTTCCACCTTGCAACTGCTTCCTAATATTCCTACATCTCCGTCCCTTATTTTTTCCTTATTCCTCTCAAACCATCTTGTCATTATTCCCCAGAAATCTCTATCTTCTGCTTTCACCCCCCTCTGACCCCCCTCCCCTGCATCCTTCTCTTCACATGAAATATTACCTACCTTGGTTCCTCCTAAATTGTGCAATATCCCATGCGCTAAATTAAATGCTTGCTGTCCACCATCCATCTCCAAGCACCTTTTGCCTATTATTTTTTTCATAAATATATTTACTAGGATACATCTCATATACGCTTCCACCGGATCCATCCTACTTCGCCCACTGTCCACATTCTCTCCGGTCGCAGCGGCTACCGCTGAATGAATATTATGTTTGAAATGTAATGCTATAAGTGTTAGCTCGCATATATCTGTGTCCCTCTGACTTCCGCTTCCACTAGTCTCCGGGTCTATTAATGCTTCACATGATGTTCTCATTGTACCCTTACTTTCCTCCTGTTCCATATATTCTTTAAATTGTGTCCATACTGTTTGCACATTTCTCCAGAAATGTTCCTATGGGTTTAACATTTATTACAGATTCCTATATGAAGTATATTCTTTTTTCTACTCTTTTTGTTCTTATAATTCTGTACATAATTACACCCCTGCCCCCATGTATACATAACTATCCCTAACCTCCGCGTAAAGAAATTATAGTAGTTGATAATATGAAATCACATACCTCCACAGCGCACTCTCGACTTCCATTATAATGTTTTCGCACAATACCACTCAGCCATGTCTCCCATTTCCTCATATACATGAACTTACCCCAAAGTGCACTATATCCTCCTTCTGGACCCCTATATTCCTTGTCTCAATATAATCATCCCATAATAATATTAAATACTGCCACATGCCTACACCCCCTGTTGCTTTTACTTCCGGTGCCTCTATAGAAGATGAATTAAATGAAAACTGCATAGAGGGAACGTTACGATTATTAATGCTCTACACTATGTAAATTCGGATACGACGCAGATTAGACGGGGTCTCTTCTTCTTTACTGCTGTTTACTCTGTCCCTCATTCTTTCTTCGTGGGGGTAGGGGTGGAATGGGACAAGTCGACGGGAGGAGAGGGCATATGCCGTTGTTCTCATAAACCATCCCAATGATCGTCCTTTCTGTTGCCGCTTTCTTTTTTTTATGGACGCCGTTGTGTTTACTCAGGTGTTGCCACAGACCAACGTCACTGAAGAATATTTGTGCATCACGAATATGTGTTGTACTTACCACTTTTAGTTTCCGTCTCGTCCTTCGACTTCACTTGTGTTACCGTGTCTGCTTGCTTCTTTTCTTCTACCTTAGATTGCATTGGTTGCTCACACTTATTTACCATTCCTTGCCGTTCTACCCCTTTTACTATTTCTCCATTGGTCTGTAACAAACTCTTAACCTTCTTTTTTGCCGATGCATCCCACCCTGTCCCATATCCGGACATGTTCTTGTTACATTTCCCGTCCCTAATTAAATTCTCCATGTTCGGTAATTCCATTCTCTTCATTACATGCCACGCGTACTGTATACCCCTTTTGGCATCACAGAATAATTCCTCAAGTCTGTACATAAATATATTTGCTATAGCACACCTTACGAAATCATCTATCTCCTGCTCACTGCCCTTCGCCCTGTGCCTATGCGTTGTACTTATATTCCATCCATTCACAAAGAGTAATGCACCGATCATTGAGTTGCAAGCAACTTTATCTTCCTGAGTCATCGTCATACCTGATCCGTCTTTGTCATTGTCGTTTTCCTGCAAATACTCCTTTTCAAAGCTATTGCAGTTTGACCCATAAAGTTCAATCCAGCTTTTGCTTATTATATGTTCCATGAATTCTTTGAAGTTTTTCTGTATACTACTCCGTAGTTTCCCCTACAGTGAACATATGTTATATATAAATATATGTACCCTTCTTACATATACTTTTATAATTTATCGGAATATTCATGCATTAGTATTCTACATAAATGTTTTATTTCATGGAATATGAATAAAGTTCTATCATGTATATTCCTATATTATATGTATAAGGGAATTATTATTATATAGTGGTATACATGTATTGCGTATTATTTTTCCATATTAATTAATTATACCCTGGTATACCTGTTCATTTGCCTTTATAGGTCTAAATACTCCGGTTCTATGGGCATACAGCCTTAATATTTCCATCCATGGTCCATTAGCCATCTTGTCCTTTGTTCTTCTATTATAAAAAACCTGTGTATACCGTTTTCTACATCTGTGTTCTCGTCCAACCTCCCTTACTCGGTGCCTTTCACTCCGTGTCCCTTCCTGTATTCAAGTCCCTTCTATACAGAGTACTTCCAACAGAATATATGCCTGCTATATCATCCCTACATTCATGTGGCACGGTGCGCACGCTGCCGATATCTTCTGTTTCCGTCCCACATAATGCTGCTGCATGCCTTGTTGCATACACGATAAGACGGTGAGCGCCCGTCATATGCAATTTTTCTACGACATCGGATCGTGCTGCGGGATCATCCTACAAGGTCACTCATTCTTGGCCTCGTATATGGTATGCGACGTTGTAGAATGTAGCAGAAACAGCAGGAACAAGAAGAACAAGAGCAACATTCCATAGGAAAAAACTACACGGTTCTGCGAGTCCTTCCTGCCCACAAACTGCGGCCCGTATTCAGAAAAACGACGTACAACACATGCATGAACGGGATGATACATGTACATACATGCATGTACAAAAATATTTCGATACCGTTTTCTAATAAGTATATACATGCACTTCCTGTTCCCACCAGGCGGAAGTAGTAAAACAGCAAGTAACAAAAGGAACATAAGGAACAAAAAAAAAAAAAAAAAATACGCACAGCTAAAGAAGCAGCAGGGCGTAGAGAACGCTGGAGACCGAGCTGTGGAACGTGGTGTGGAAAACACCCTAATCCTTATTGAAACATAAGGAAAAAAAAAAAAAAAAAAAAAGCCCA